ATTTGAAATAAAACTGCTACTAATGAAAATATATTTATTGTCAAAACAAATAAATAAAGACATTATGCCCAATGCAATGGCCAATTATAACTTTTGGAGAAAATTGTTACAAATATGTTATAAAAGTTTGGTATACTTACAATTCTCACAAAATACTGTAAAGGAAGTTGTTACGTTTACAGCTGAATAAGAAAATATTGACTACAACATGGATAACCCCTATTAACGTCAAATATTTTTTAAAATAGGGGTCAAAGGATTGGTATAGGGATGGCAATGTAGGACTGTATTTAAAATGTGGAAGGGGAAAACATTTAGGAAGGAGGGAACGCAAACAGTTTACCAGTATCAGGTCATACATTTTAATTTGCACCAAATTACTCCTTTTGAACCTATAAATTGACCAAGCAAAAGGATTGATTTGTTAGAAAAAGCTACTAACTATTTAATTAAATTGAGTCAACGCATTGTAGTGTCCTCGAAAAGGGTTGGCAAAGAATTCAAGCTTTCAGTTCAAGAAACTCGATCCCAATTACTAATATTTTTCATAATTTGTTCTTCTGTTTCGTAAACTATGAAGGATTTGGAAGGGGTTTCTAAAACCTTGACAAGATAATTCGATGCAGCAAATTTGTTGAAAATCAATATTATTGATTTTTGTTCTAGATATTCAACTATTTATTTAAAAATAATTCCAAATATTTTATTTTTGTCGATCAATATTTTCCACATCACCTTCAGCAGATTACATATCTAATCCTTTGAATAATTCACATTACATAAGTTTTATTGATTTTTTATACAAATCTCACTAATTTTTAAACGTTATTAAAGTACACGGATTAAGTCTGCCGTTATACAACATGCCAATATGCCATATTATTCCTATAATATTTTTTTGAACTTTGGCGAATTTGAGTCTGTTCATAATATATTGGAATCTTTACCGTTTCTATTATAAATTATTATTTCTTGTCCAGCCAAGACTTTTTACTTTTTCACAATGATTGTTCGTATTTTACACGATATTATGGCAGGATTAAATATAACTGTATAAATTGAAAAACTAAAATTATTCTGACAGAAATAGTCTTCCATAAGATGGAGGAAGAAAGATATATTTGACTTTAAAAGTTCACGTCGACAGTAATAGACATAATTATTATGTTTTAATATGCAGAACCCAAGTCATTTGTCTTTGTTCCCAAATATATTTCACTTCTGTGTTTCTACGTATGGCGATTTCTTTTCTCCTTTGTCAAATAACTCAATTACGCTGGTAACGGCAAATGCGTAACTCTTGTAGTTCGACCGCCCGTGAGTTCTGTGCGTAATGAAATGTCAAAATGATAATCAAATCAAGTTTCTAAATTCAGACAAACTATTTTATATTACGTTTTCTATTATGCGCTCTTGCTTTTACTAGATTACCTATAGCAGTTCAAAAGTTGGATTGAAATACGTTGTCATCACAGCAGGTTAAATTAGACCTGAACTAGCGAAAATGTTCGTATGTCCCCTTAATATCAGTAACATCCATATTTCATATTGCCATAATAAAACTACTACATGCACGTTTACAAATTTTGTTAAAGCTCAAATAACACCATTGTGTATATTCAGAATTTTAAAATATGTCATGTCTATGAATGACAAGTTAGAATCATTACATAGCCAAAAATACTACAAGCATGTATTGTCAGATTTGTAAATTAATTAATATTAGGGGTGTGTGTCAGAGGTTTTCTCTTTGATATTTGAAAAGGTTAAAAGGGAAATTGTTGTCACACGTTTCGATATATATATTATAACAAAAAATACTTTATCATTGATTCCAAAGCTTTGAGCATACGGATAACATAAGCATGAAATCGGTAAGAATAAGTACGTCCGTTATTTCCAATTTAAAATCATTGATTTAGTATTGTAAACTGAAAAAATTAGTATGAAAGAGTATGTACGCTTATAAAAACAAATTTGAGCTGTTCTGTTCATAAATAGGGTAGAAAAAATGAAAAAAAAATAATTATACAGCAATTTAAATAATATGATTTTTACAAGAGGTATTTTTGCTATTAATTTGTTTTATTAATGAATTATAAAAATTTTATTTGCTTCCAAAGAGATTTTATCATCCTTCCTTAGCGATTTCTTATATGATTTTTATTAGTTTATTGACATATATGCAAATCAAATCAATTCCCATAGGAAATTTTTGGAAAACGAAGTAAATCTTTTTATCTTGAATCCAACCGAGTAAAAAGTATTGCATATTTAAGTATTGCAACATATACTATTTTCAAAATAATATAGAATTGTATATTTAGACTTCTTTTTACATGAATAAAAATCGAAAGAGAACAAACTAACAAATTTTTCATTGATTACACTGAGTTGCAGTTATCCGCCAAATGACTCCAATCATTCTCCACAACGGCATGCAAAATTCAAGCCTGTCGTTTACCTGGTAAATAAATAATTACGCACGTACATTACATGTCAAACAATGTCGGCGGTAGCGCTTCTCGTATGAATAATAAGGTTATCTATGTGTTGGTACCATGAACACATTTTCGTGGAACAGCACTTCAAAAAACGTCAGCACAAAATATATATACGTTCAAGATCTTAACTGTTTCCTATTCAAAAACGATAATGATATGAAATGTGTTTGATAACTTATTGCCTCGGATTCACTGGAACTGTGCTCTTTCGTTGTCCACTATTCTTTTTAGAATTTGTAGCTTCGGTATCTCAGTAGTTCAATATAACTTTCTCAAAGATAACCTTCTTTTACCACTGGGTGATTGCGCTTCTCAACATTTTCGACATGTAGAAAAGTAAAAGTTATAGCAAGGTTGAACTGAAATTTTTTTACAAAGTTTTAGCATGGTGAAACCATGCGATTACGGAATAGAAACATAAACAGATTCTCTTTCCCTCCGTATCTCAACCTCACAGTTGAGCAGTCACTAGCTCATTGATCCCCATGACGTTAAGTTCAAAATGACACGGCAAATAATCCTAAATTTATACTATATTGAAGACCCTCCTGTTGGTAGAAGCAGGTTTGTCCTGTGGGTTTATTTTTTTTGACAGGTCATAATTTCGATGTCACTTTTCCAATATTACGTTGTTACCAAGCCAGTGAGTAAGTACAACGATAAAGGTTTTTGCATTGCATATAAGGCGACGAGAAAAAGCAACATATTAGGCGGAGTTGGTTGATATTTTTCATAAAGTTGAGTTTTGATTTTAAAAATATAATTGACATTTGTATAACGGAAAACGCATTTTTAGCTTTAAATTTATGAAATAGGCATAAAATGATTAATCAAACAAACAATGCGAATGAGATTTGAGAAATATTTTGTAGAAGTTTTTTGTTGGAAGTAAAGTAGTTCCAAGTATATTTCTGAATACCAGTTTTAGCCCTGTCCTAGCGTTTCTAAAATTAATCATTGAGTGTCAACAAGACTGATGAAGACCTCAATTGCCACCAGGACAAACCTCACAATTTGCCGGCAATTTTGGCGCCGTCGTATGCATTTGCGTCACGCCTAAAATTGTTTTGGCAATTTAGAATGGTGCGATTACGTTGGTATATACAGGACGAGTATGAAAAACTAACTTATATATTATTGTATTGAATAAAAACAATTTGATGGAGTGGAATAGATCGTGTCAGATGATCCTACTTCTTTAGTGAAGGATTGATAAGCATTCCAAAATCTAAGATGAGGAAGTAAAGAGGTTAATACTATACAAATAAACGATCGACTTTTGTGCGCTCTTCAACAATTAGGTTGTTTTGAAATAAAGAGGAAAAATTTGTAAGAAGGTTCGAATATATAATATATTTTGTGGTGCTTTCATGAAGTGACACAGTAAATTAAAATATTGATGATAGCGGTTTGTTAAAAATAACCTACGATGCCTTACTAGGTCCATACACCTTCAAATGCCCTGCTAGTGCTAAAACTCAAAACCAAAAGCTATTCACGTTGACTCCAATTTAATGTTCAAAATGTTTTGCTTAGACTTATCACAAATTTGTTGTAAGTGAGGCTCGGAACAAGCAGCCACTAATGTTTGGAATTGATATATATTTGGCATGAATTATTAGATTTTCTATTTTATGATTTTCATGATCATTTCATTAAAAGTTTCCGCAGTGCTTCACATTTTTCCATGAACAATTCTCTGGGCGCGAAATCACAAATTGTTTAAAAAGTTTATATGAGGGCCAGCAACAATCGTTAATATCGTTAATGTTATGCAAACAATTTAAATATCCTATTTGTTGAAACCTAAATTTAGTTTGAATCACTTAAATATTTCTTTGACATCTGGCACATAGTCGCAAACGTATTCCGCGATCCCGTTGTTATGTTTAAGTTGAAAATGCTGTAATTCCGGTAAAATACAGGTTAGAATTAAGATAAAAACCCTTCTGACAAGCGCCTTCCTTTGCATATTTCATGATTTCCTATGAATAAAAAATGGAATAGAGAAAACAGTTCATGAACGATACTAATCGACGAATCTTAAAAACATCTTGAAATGACCTTGATCTTAACTTTGATGTGATTCAGAAACGAAAACTGAGTATATCAACAAAATTTACCTTTACTCCGATCTATATTCTATATGTTTACAAATGAATTTCACATTTGTTGTTGTCTTGCATTGACGATATATCAATTCAAGATTATATTTTACATATACTATGTAATATAGCAAACGAATGTCTATTGTAAAATTACGGATTGTGGGTTAACACATTTCTTTAAAATCCGATAATTTTGGAGGTCTCGCGTGGCTTAGCTTTCCCTAATATTATACAGTTCTAATGAGTCGACTCAACTTTTTTCACCTTAACCTATATGCGAATAATCTGTAACAAAATTTTAAAATTGTATAAAACAAGTTCCGTATGTTTCTGCGTGCGCTGTATAATATAATTCTTCATTTTCTGACACTTAAACTTTTTATTTCAGAATCAAAATGCCCTCAATGTCTTTGCTGATGACAGTCTTCCACAAAATTCATTGTTTTTTGATGTAATTCTACCAGAAAGCCATGAAATCAAAGCTAAAGGCTTGAATCAAACTAGTGGTATGAATCAGTCTTCCAATCAGAGAAAGGCAAGCCATGTTTTGTCCAAAACTATCGAGAGTGAAAAACAGACTCAAAATGCCGGAACAAGTACTGCTTCAAAAACACTTCCGAGAGCAAGATTGTCACAGAAAAAGAAATCGAGAAAAATGATTATAAAGAAAAGGTAGGTGACATAAAACTCTCTGGCATTCAAATACACAACCTAACAATCAATTATGCGTATTTCAGTGTCGTAAACCTGCAAAATATCAATTTTCAATATTTCCGGTTAATGAATAATCAATGTGGCATATTTGATTAAATATTTATAAAGTTTATACTTAATACACAATATAAGAATTTATTGTTATTTGATTATTGATATTGAATAGGCAACAATAAACACAATAACATAATCACACACAGCTTTGTTAGATGACCCATCAAATCAAGACCTTTTTTTATAAATTTGCATTTGATGCAAACCAGCAAGTTCTTTGAAAAATAAACTAAGTAAATTGTTTGAAATATAATCATTGAAGACAACATCCCAATTAAGAAGCAAACTCAATTTAAACTACACAAGTATTGTTTGACTTCTTTCAGGTTTACTGCAACTTATATTCGAATGAGTGGTATAAGGCCATAAACCAAACATATCAGATGTCCTCTGTCATTTTTTTTTCTTTTCATCTTGATGCCTATTCGATCAAGTAATAATTCTACAAAGAGTAGTACTATAAAATTAGAATAAACAAAATCATGTTGAAAATACTTGAGAAATCTTCTTGATGAATTCGGTTATTTGAATATTTAATTCTTCAAGCTTTGAACTCGCCGGTACAAGAAGGCATTTAATTTCAATTGTTTAATTTTTCAGATTTTAAAAATAACAATGAGAAAAGTCACATAGAAAAAATATTTATATGGAATCTTCCCTTACAAATATTCGATTTATACACGGATATATTATATATGGTTTCAGAGACCTCGCTATTTTGCATCTAATGAAAAACAGCCATACTGAATTTTTAAAATGTATACCTAGTAAGAAGTTTTTAGGCCTGGTACAATATGTTTAACAGTCAGACCATTCCCACCCACATTCTAAATATCTGTATTAATATAAATTATATTGTGTATTGCAGTTTATGTCTGAATAAATCGAAAACAATTTCTAGTTGACAGCATGATGAAATTCTGCAAAAATTATTAACCTTAATATGTAATACTTCCAATGCATCTCCTCGTAGTTCAATTTTTTCAAATGCTTTACATATGTCCGACAAGTATTAGTATTATTATTGTTTTCTAGACGCAGTCCATCAGTCAGGTACCCGACTCAGCCGAGAAGACGTGGGCTAGCCGACACAGGACTTGGGTTGAATGGCGTTGCTTCTAAAAATCCGTGGAACTCATTGCCCCCTGAGAAACCGGGCATTTATATTTCTCCAATGGTGAGTTAAGGATATTATTTGAATTATAAAATGTCTTGTAATAATCCAGTCATGTTATTTAAAAACGTTCAATAACAAGAAAATTATGCATATTTAGTAAATTATAGATTCTATGAAAAAGTAGCCGTAAGACAAAGAATAAAAGTATAAACATTTTCGATAATGTACATGAAATATAAGGTGTCCCGAAATAAATTAAACCCACAAAACTGATAATCGTATTATTGCGTTTCATTTATTTTGTGACATCCTGTTATTGTCCAATATTTGTACCATAAAAACGAACACAATTTGTTTATAACAAATTGAATGGGATACCACAGGCCTAAACATTTAAAAAGATGGCAATAGGTCATATTCTGTCCTATCTTCGGATGGGAATTTGTCGAAAATTTTGTTTTATACTGTCACTATTTTGAAAATCTTTTTATCAGTGTTTTGTTATTGAGGCTCTAACAACGCTAACAGTCGTGAGAGTAAAGTGACATTTGTTACTTTGAGTCATGTTTTCATTATTATTCAGCCCGGATCTGGTGGTATCAACGGAGACACCGCTGATGATTTGTACACTTACACGTTTGTGGAGGATAACAAATTTGAACTGAGAGGTTCTGCAAGCATTAATTTTGATGGAGTCGACAAATTTAGGTGAATATTCACAAGTGAAGTTAGTTTTTATGTGTGAAGTTAAATATTTTATATGGCGTAAGTCCCAATTTTCTCAGAACAAACTCAAAATATGCATTTACCCCCAATTTCTCTGAAAATTTTATTATATAATTGAAAATATGTTGTAAAAGGTTTTGCCATCGCGGTGGCTTAATATTCCATGACATGAAACATTGCACCTTGGGTGTCGCTGCTCATTAACCAGATTTGGTTCCCCGCGGATTTCCTTTCAAATTAAAATTTGTATGAAGATCACTTTTTTGAATATTTTATGTGATTGTTTTTACTTGTTGGATAAAATAAACTTGACTTTATTAAACTTGCCTCATCATATATTCGACGACAGTATGTTAAATATTACCTTGCTTTAAAGAAGTTGTTGTTTGCGTCTGATCAAACGAAAAGCAAACGCGGAAGTTTTACACTCACTTTCTCGGTTTTCTTTATTTTTTGAATTTCTCTAAATTTTCAATACAAAACAATTTGTCTAGAATCACTTTTGAATATTCCATCACTGGAGACGGTAACGCAACCGCCCATCTTGTGACCCCGGAACAGGAAGCCAAATATCCTGCATGGGATGAAAATGGAATAGGAAGGTAACTGATTTTCTTATAGTACGACTTGAAATAATTCAAAATCACATGTTTCAGAACGATGGAACCAAAGAATATAACTAAATATGCATAAGAAAACTTCTCTGGAAATCAGCTTTTGACAAGTTTTTCGAAAAAACGATAATCAGTTACTGAAACTGCTATACTCCGAATACAAAAAAGGTTTTTAAATACCCCAACTATCCCGCAAGAGGTGTGAAAATATTATTGTTGACTAAAAGCTGGCGTAGTTCAACTAGTTTTCAATGTTTTGTTTGTCCCTTTTTGGTCACCCTGCCTCCGATATTGAAGTTAATAATATATAATCATTTTGTCCCAATAGCACCCTCTCGCGGCCAAACAGTTGTCACCTACAAGCCAGTGAAAACCGGACCGAACCGGTTGAAAATTGCCCGACGAAGCAACCAAGTAAGTTTTTACGTTCGGAGTCCGTATTTTGTGTAGCCTTTACCACCATTAGGAAGATCCAAGATAAGAGCCAAATATTGTGTTAAATAGAGTTTGCGACAGTATACTGTATATATCAATGTTCGATTTTACTGATAACGCGCTGTGTCAACGAATTTTATTCGTTCCATGTCCAGCTGTTAAGCATGATGGCCTAGTAAAGTTTAAAACTTATATATGATGAAAATTGTGAGCGGAAATATCAAATTCAAAATTTTTTACTCTCATTCCATACAGTATGCAATAAGATGAGTAATTCATAGTCTACTCTGAACCTTTTGTTTTCGGTCCTTCTGAACATGGTAATTTATAAATGTCGGTAGCTATTTGCCTAGAGCTTTGAGCTGTACCGATTCATACGATATAATAAATTTAATCTAACTAAATTAATTTTGTGTCACAGACACAATGTATCCAGTGCAGGGAGATTCAGGGACGCCGCCTCCGAGGCGCATCGGCGCAAGACGATCTCGAGTGCAACCAGGAACAGATACTCGCTATCCTTTTCTAGATGACCAATACTCCTTTCTGACGTCATCTCTGATGTCACCATACGGACCATCATTATCTGAATCGTTTATATTTCCTAATCAGCCTGTTCCATCTTTTAACCTGAACCCGCAGGTCAACGAATACGTCAACAAAAAATGTGACGTCACAACCTCGACATACGTCAGAAAATGGTTGTGTATAGGACGCACTGCTCCACCTTGTTTTATGATGCTCATGCAAGGCTCCAAGTATAAGGTGGTAAAGAAGATTTGCCCACAAAGGGTGTATGCGAAGAATTTGATATGAACACTCAACACCGAAACAAATTAGGTGATTGTTATTCAGAAAAGCGCGCCGTGACCGGTGCAGCGTGTGAGGGGTAATCACGCATATCTTTATCGCGCCATAATAATATTCATAAAACGTCATGTTAAAATCATATCAAAATACCTATGCTTCCAATAATATTTTCATAATCTTGTAGAGGAGTCCTAAAAAGTTAATTCTTTCATTCCGAGAGTTGGGTAGTTGATTACCAAACACTTCATATTTTTACCATTCATTTTATCCAAACGGTAATCCGGTGGTTAAGTGAACCACCATGAAATGACAAAGTTAGTAGCACTTTTTTTCGGCGGAATCATTCCGAAGTAAATATCACAAATATCATTCTGAATATCATGTCGCTTGCTAAACTTCGATATCGGCCATGAAATATTGACCTATATTTGCGTTATATTTTGCCATGTTTTATGAATTGAAGTTCCGACCTTAGGTCACAGACCTGATTCAGATACAGATTCTTCCATCTGCTTCATATTCTGTCTTGTATTTCAGAAAGACAACGATGACAAAATTATTATTTTAATGTATTTTATTGCATTTGTATAATAAAGTGATCGTTTAATATTTCTCGACAAAGGTATGATCACTTTCCACTGTCTGAGACATAAATATAATAAAGAAAATAATAAATGGAACGTTGTGTTTTGATGATAATGGGAATATACTCTTCAGCTTTCGTAGTTCATGCAGTACATAGCTGTACAAAGCAAACGTTTCACTAGAATGTGTACGAATGAAATTTCCGAAACATAGTTTAAAAATATCATTATCAAATTACCATGTCACGCTATGAATGATATCTTACAATCTCAATTTATTTAAAAAAAAAAAATGAAAGTATAATTTTAGAATCCCGGCATGAAACAAACGACTGGCAATATTTGTGAATATAGATGGTTTAATTTTTGCCTTCTGAATTTCCATCAAACAATCCAAATTTAGTTCATACCCGAATGGTAAACAATGTAAATTGCAGAATGCAAAAAAACAACAATGAAAAAGAAAGTCAATGAATGTAACTTGAATTATCTTTCATGGAGAATATTTTCAGTACGTGAAGTTGGAAAGCGCAGTCGTGATGTCCTGGTATTCGACTCAATTCTCACCTCGTCATAGTTTTTTGTGATTTATATGAATAATATTTAAAAAACATATCAAGATTTCACTTATTGTGATTCTGCCAATTATTAATTGAAATATGTCTTTGGATTGTCAAATATCGGCAATGAACAGTGAGATTGTTCATCAGAAAATATTGTAACAGCACCGTATCTTACGAAAAATAAATAGACCAGTTTTTAGACTAAATATAAAAACATAGCAATTATAAACCGGTGTATATGTCTCTATGGGATACGACTTTTATATATACCTCAAAATTCATATGTATATTTTGAGATAATCACTCAACCAACGTCGAAATTACTTTTTCGTTTGATTCCTTCGCATGCGCCGGCCCTTCTTCTTCGTTATATTCTTCCACCTCAATCGGTAATAATTGCGATTACTAATTCAACATCATGACAATTACTTTTCATTTATGACATATTACTCCCCCTATGAATGAAACTGTTCCGTCACAATGTTAAATTATTATGTCACAGAAGTGATGCAGATTCCAAATTCTCTCTTATTATTGTATCCATAACTGCGTGGAAAACGATTTCGATATGTTCGGTGTTGGTTGCCGTTGTAAAATGCGGATAAACGACCTGAAATAAAGTAAAGAACAATTTGCTTTACATTGGTTGTTTGCTTCAAGATAATAAAAGAATTCTAGATCAATATCCATACCCAATTTCCTGCATTAATTATCAGTTAAACAATAGTTAAACAAGGTACAACTACTACCTTGTCGAACTTGTGGGATTCGCACTTGAGGATTGATATATTTCATCAGAGGAATGTTACAAAAATTGATAAATTACGCAGCGCCAGAATAATATAATAAATAGTTTTTGAAATATATTTTGACGCCTCACAACTTTAAGATACCCCGCCGTTTATTCTCGGAGCACGTATCTTTTAAAGAGTTCAAATTCAAATAAGATATTTAAGTCATCAAATGTAATCAATGCGAAGTCGAGCCAATATCGATTATTTACCTTTTCCGCATTTCTATTCAAAGCCAAAAAGTTTGCTTTCACGAAATCGGCTGCAAAGTCAACATCACCATCTCGTCCTAAAATGAATAAATGCAATATTTAGAATCAAACAAACTAATTTAGCAGAGTGCATTTTCATGTTTATCACCCGGTAAAAAAAAGAAATTATAAGTTCGATAAAAGTAAATCAGTCTAGAAGTTTTTAAAAGCGATTATGTGTCTTGCCCAAGGTCAATACTACACCCTGCGTACAACGACAACGAGAAGTTCTTTTTTATCATCAATTATCATAATAGATTTTCCTAAAAAATCTAACTTGCTAATAATTTAATGTTTTCAAATAAGAAAATTGCTATGGAATATAGAAAGTTAGACATCGATGTATTGTCCCAATTAATTAACACAAGCGAACTAGAGATAGTATAAATACGTTCGTGTAGCGATATACATTTTCAACATAGAGTTATTACCTATTTTCTCTGCCGCCCTTCAGTTGGCACATAGCGGAACTAAGTAGTACTAACTAAATATCATACCGAAAATCATACAAATATTTAGAGATGCAATTTTTGACTTTTTTGCGTTCACAATCGAGTTAACATTTTGCAGGATTTTTGTCAACCTTGCCGATAATTGTTACCTCAATACTCATAAATCAGCAATTCCTTCATCAATAAACCGAGTAGTTAGCAGTGGTGGGAAATTTAAATATTTCTCTCTAACAGTTCATACCTTCATACTCAGGAAAATAGTATCTCATATGTCTTTTAGTTCGTTTTATCTTCTTCTCAAATAAATCATATTTGTTGAGAAACAATATCTGAATAGAAATGTGCATAAATTATAATGAAAATTTGATTGAATAAACTCACACGTTCGTGATGAAATGATCGGGTGAAGACTTTTCAATTGTTTCGCGCAAATTATTTGCCAAATAAAAGCAATGCTCAGATTTATGGACACGAAAGCGACTTCGAATAAAACCAGCTGAAATCGCTGAAATGCGATCGCGAAACCGCCACACGGTGCACAACTTCGAAGTGAAAACGAATTCAATAGAGCCCATGGAAATGTTTAAGATAAATAAAACTAATAGCCTTCTTGTGACAACAACAATATTTAACTATTAAAAGTCCCAAAGCAATTGGTCCCGAAGTTAGTGAGGGAAGCAATTTTTTCACAACAAAATACCAACAACAAGAAGAGTAGCAATAATTTGCTTATTATCGCCATGTAACGTAATATTGGAATAATATATTTTCCTTAAAAGAATATAAATAACATAATCTTGGATTTATATGAAGTAGACATGCGAGAAGAATTAGTGGGAGGAGCTATGAAATGTGAAAAATGATCTGTGATTTTAATTTAACTTTATAAATTGCTCAAAATATAAATTACCATAGATGTCATGTTGAAGAAAGCGTTGTTACAGATTGATCCGAACAATTTCAAACTTTCTCGAAGTCGATTCTGAATGGGTACAAATGCGATTATATAAACGCATTTAGAATATTTTAATATATGAAATTGTATAAATTTATATAACTTTATATATAAAAAGTATACAGAATACTTGAAACAGACACTCGAATATTAACATGCAACTTGTTACAAACACATTTTTTGTGTGTCTTTATTTCATGGAATACAATTAGAAGGTATTCTTTCCATCATGAAAAAAGTAAAGCAGATAAATGATTTGTTCAAACGTATCCCCATCAACTAGTCCATATGTCTCGATTCTATTTTGTATTGCAGACATGAAATTTCAAACCTAACAGCAATGGAAATTCATACACATAAATTAATATTCAAAGTTGCTTACCACACTAGAATCTTCTAGTAATGTCATGTCATATCCACTCAAAGCGGCTACAAATAATACAGCTCTCACGTGATCAAAGCAAGCGATCCACTTTCGTCTTTCTGTTCTCTGTCCTCCAACATCAAAAACTCTGGACAGAAAATAACCACAAATCAGTTTAATTTCATTCATTTAGCAGACAAGATAAAATTTCAATTATGGTCACTATTCGCTCTGTAATAACATTGGTTATTCAAATTGACACATGGTGCAATATCCGCTTTGATGTGATGCCATATACACAACGTATAAATAAATATTGGGATATGAGGTATGTTTTTATGTGAATGATTTGTTTTATTAGCATACAACTAACCTCTTATCCAGCGTTCATAATGTAGTATTAGCATTAAAATAGTTACTCAATAATAGAGAGGCCTGTTTCAGCAGTGAAAATCAAAGCACTCATTGTTAACAGAAAAAATGCTGGTGCAGTATGACCAGTTAAATAAATCCCTGAACACCATGAAACAACAGATACGTAAATAGAATGACCAATCAAATTATTGTACCTGAATAAAATTCCACTGAATCTGAACTGCGATTCCATGACACCGAGAGTTCTTATTCTAACTCGAAGAACGTCATCAACGGTTGGAATGTAATCAGAGGACGTCAAACGTCGAATGTGGTTGAAATAACTGTGAAGAGAAGCTTTGATATTAATTAAATATTGATTAATATTGAGCCCTTTGGCATTTATATAGTGAGTCTATTGCTAAATTATATCAAGTTATAATAGTTTATACAAAGCCAGGCGAGCGTAATGAGATATGAAGATCTAAAACATATAAAGATAATGCACCTGGCTACAGGTAAATTAAATTGAAGAATAAAATTGCCTGATTGTTTAAAACAAAAACATTTGAAGCGACATGTACATTTGATATTTTTTGGCTTGAAAAGAAGATCAAAATTAAAAATAGCCTTTTTTGAGGTTGTTTTTATTCTGTGTTTTGGGTATGTTTATATACCCACAGTCCGACGTTCTAATTTGTGGCTGGTATGTTTGTTCATAATAGGTTATTTACGCATTACATCTATTTTTCCTGTTTTTGCTTCGTTATTAAAACATAGTCATTAAAACTTACTATAAAGCAGAATCATTGAGTTCGTATTCGAAACCTCTTTTTGCTGCTGCTCGAACACCTCGATCTCTCCATAAATGGCGTAATGCGTTTCCTAGGAACGGCGGAAGTGTGACGTCGTCATCACATGTGTAAGGATAGCAAAGTACAGTTTGGGCGTGAATCTTGAAATAAAGAAATAATTTGGTATTCCATAAACATTCTTTCAATTGAAAAAATTTTATCTTGATATTCTGGGAAGGCTATTTTGCATAATAAGATTAAAATCAAATTCTAAAATTTGATTCATTATGTAAGAGTCATGAGTTTACGATGTATTTTATTGTTAAAATTTTGAGGTTCTAAGACTTGACATAAAAATAAGACTTGTCAGTTTATTTTTATTAAGATTTCACTTCTGCTTGATAAATAAAGTGTATCTTACCTTATTCTTTATATTGCTGAGATTTATTCTTAAAATCACCATTCCTTGAAGTACGAATTTCATTGAATTTAGAAGATTGTCCAAGATGGCTGACTGAAAATTAAAATTTACTCTTATAAAATTAACTAATCTGATACCAGCTTTACTATAATGTATTTTTAAAATCGTATCCATTTTTAGCTAGATGAAGACAAAAATGTTTATTTTAACAATTTAATTTATCAAATATCAATAATAAAAAACGTTATGAGTGATCCTACAATTATCTAATTTTTTACATTTTCGTAATATTTGCATGAATTCTATAGTCAGTAAACAGTCGACCAAAGAGCAAAATATTACGAAAAAAACAGAAATAGGAAGATGCTAAACGGAAACTTTCATATACAGTATATGCAAATTCCACTAAATTGCAAAAACAAACGCAAGGCCCATTCAGATATTTTTGGCCGTGCATCAAGTAACTCACCAGTCAAACATAGCAGCAGGATAAACTTAACTAAAAATAGTAATAAAATCACTGACGCTTCAGAAATAATTTCAGGTATAGAAATTAAAAAACATATTTGTAGTGTGTTTAATTGCAGCTTCAAAGTAATTAAATTGCATTGGAATGATAAAATGTATTTTTTGTCGATCCTTATTATATGATAAGAAATGATTTGTGGTTGTTATATAAAACATTAGATCGCATCGACAAAAAACTATTTTTTATTTTCGTCTTCAATGTTAGTCGTAATAGGTGGCGCTGATCGGTAATTAAAATTGCTTCTTTGCGCCAATTTTCGCGGCCCTGAAATGCCATAATTACATCTGATTATACAAGGAGTGTTTTAAACATGTTGGAATATCAAATTACTATTTATTGATACTGTGAATATATCGGTGAGTTAATTACATTTTTGAGGTATTTAATTATGTTTGAGGATTTTGAATTTTCAAAATTTCACGTTTTCTCATAGCAAGGTCATTTTACCCAACTAAATGCATAACTAATACGGATTGAAGAGTTGTCAGCCACCATGGCATTGACGACCAGCAGCCATAGATGTCAAAAAATTGAAATGTACAACAAGAGATTTGGTCTCAACGTAACCATAACCTTAACATAATCCAATTTGGCTAGAAAAATTCAATTTTTTTATTAGACGAGTGTACCATTTTTCGGTGGTAAAATTTCAAACATTTTTGACAAGTTCACTTCAAAACTGATCGGGGTTATAGACACATTATATTAATATTCATGTTCTTCTACATATACGCTAATACCAAATGCCAAAGCGATCCTTGCTGTACCTGTAAACTATTTGGTACCTCAATTTAGATTAGTCTTTTAAATTCCATGACCCGATAAACCAGGAAATAAAATTATCTAAAACCGTTTCATTTCCCGTGGGAATGAAATTGGACGATAAAATATTTATGATTACAAAAGTCAGTTGAATAGACAGGTCAATAAAAATACAAATATGCGTGGTTATCAAAAATAGACTTTTTCATTTGGCCATTTTACAACTTCAATCCGATAAAGGCTCTGTAAAATAATCTGCTGACTGCCTAAGGAGCTACAGTGTTTGAAAATTTAGAATTCTTCCATTTTTAGCATTGCTCATTTAATTTGTTACACATTGAATGAGATGATGAGTATCGGATTCAACCAAAATTTTTATCGTGCCCAAGAAAAAAATATTCCACTACATATTGGACTATCGGTCTCCTGATATTGCAAAGAGTTTATATTCACGCGCGAAGTCATAATTTGGTGTACCTGACTGAGCGACAGAGTATGATATTTAAACTTGGTAATCTATATAACCTGACCACGTTTTATATACTCTTACCTTAAAGGCACATCTTTCCTCGGCTGAAAATCCAGAATTGTGAATAATTTTCATCTGCTTCACAAATGTGCTTTTACCGCTTTCCCCAGCCCCTGAGATTAATATTTTATGAATATGAGCAGACATTAAAATATGATATAAATTCCCTATTAACAAAATCAAGCAAGTGCATATTATTTTCCCTTGGAAATTTTCCGAGGTAAACTCATCTAATAGAATTACTTTAAGTAAAAATGAGATACTTCAATTATATATAAAGCATCAAATATAAGTGAAGAGACATTTCACAGTGAAATTAAGTAAAAATAAATAGAGAAAATACTGCCTACCCATTAATTCATTTAATTTTTCAATTCTACGTTTACCAAGTAGATCTCACCTAAGAGCAACAGCTTTACAACATTTTCTTCTTTTCTTGCCATAAAACTCAGCCGTCTGTCAATATCATGGCTCCTCTGTTTGGCAAGAAGTTCGTCATGATTCAAACTCATGCAAACTCCCATTTTTAATTTATATAAATTAAAATTTACTGTTGAATAAAGGAATATCGATAATTATAGTTTAAATACCGATTTTCAAATAGTCGTTATAAAAATAAAAATAAATCCGATGTTTAAATCACTTTGGACAGATTAGCTTGTGGTTTGAAACACAGGTTCTGATTCTCTGGTGGCACTGCAGTAAGGTCCATTGCGCTGAGTAATAAACCAGTAATGTCATAAAATGATTCTAAGCTTGACCTAGCAAGTGTAAAATCAGAAAAACGCTTTGACCCCAGATCAGGTCGAAATCAAACTGCGTCAAAGTGTCACCTATCACCCGCATGCAAAACGCGCGAACCCAAAGATCAGATATAAAGTCGATGGTGTATATTGGCCGAACAGATAAAAATTTTATTCAAAATACAATTCAGCTAATGTCAACAAGTATTATCAAAGCGACATTTATGTAAATGTAAAACTTTCAATTTTCAATTTTAATTATTCAAACCAAACCTGAAGTAAAGTGATTTGGTTCATTCAATAGAGAAATAAATACCAAATTATAGCCAGATATTGTTAAACTGCCAAAATTCTATTCCTAATCAATCATTATTCCTCCCTCGCAATGCAAGAAAACTTTATTCAATTAATCTTTAGTGGATCCTATAGCGAGTGTTATGCACAAGTCGCACCCCCGCTTTTATACAGATTAAGTAGTTTATATTGTGTGGATAAATAAGTATTACAATGATAATAAGAAACTAAAGAATAAAAATAATGCTACAGCTAATACAAATCAACATTTCCCTAAGAACGACAAATACCTCTTTGGGTAAGAGTTCCTCCCAGGTCGGAAAACCACTAAAACAAGAATTAACAAGAAAAACCGCAAAACAATTCAAGTCATATCTTAATAACGATTGTATGGAACTAAAAATGAACATCTTTATTAGAGCATCTGGCCTCAAAATACAACTGCTAATGAAGCCCTCAATGAATGCCTCGACATAATTGTACTAATCTTAAAATATTTCGCATTGTTTACGGTGGGAAAAGCGCTAATTGGGTATCATTATACTTTTAAATGAATGTGGAAAATCACTCTCATTTAGAGCAAATGTAACTATGAAAACCAATATATTATTTTCACGTGGATTGGTTCTACATTCCAATGTCATTCACTTATGCTACTGTTGCAGGTGGACATTATTAATAAGCAATAATATTAACTTAGCTAATTATTTCATAAATTTATTATTAACTAATTTTTTTGTCGAACTTTACAGTAGAAAATATTCTTTATAAAACATTGGTTTTGGTTTTCCTTTTCTTTGACCCTCACTCTACTGCAGCAATCATATTTAGCACGTGAACTCCTAGCTAGCCGAGTAAATTAAAATATGTTCAAAGTCAGCTAAAGCATGTATTTAAGAAGCAGTAATGGCGCCCAATGAATTCGTTAGTACGCGAATTGATATCCACTACCTTTCTTATCTGCTGCATTTTTGTGGTTTCCAAGTTTATCATTGAATTGAATGGATTAAAAATAAATATTTCCTCTATAGACTGAATCGGCTTTCAGGCATTTCGTATCGGACGTTTTGGCCCACGTATGCTTTCAAACCAAACAAAACATTGCGATCCTTATATTTTAACATATAGGATGCAGTCGGTATAAGAGCTATAGGCATCGTATGCCAAATAGGTCCCCGCAATGAGATATATGATTTTTGATTTATGTAGGTTATGTACGTTTTTGTAGTTCCTTGACGTATAATTGAATCAGATTTAAAAATAAATAAACATCCATCCTTAGGCAGGATCTAAATGCGGTCACGCTTCACAACGTTCCAGTTGAAATTTAGAAATATGTTGTTAATGCAGATAATCACGATTCGCCCGAGTTCCACATTCGGTCCATAGATTGAATAAACAATAAATTACAATGCTGATTAATTAATAAAAGCTGGAATATCTTTTCCCACGAGGCTAAATTATGTAAGCAATATGAACCACTAATGAACAATTATAAATTTGCCATTCGCAAATGCTTCCTTAACTATACAAACATTCATGAGGATATGGATTTTAAGTGAGGAATACCATCGATACATATATATGTTACGATCCGGCACGATCCGGCATAATTTACTCAATAATGCGATGAACATATTCATAGTGTTGGTAACGAGATTGGAACCCGAAATACCCGGACTACGTTAGCATCAAATCTTTTGCTCAAAATGTACACACTTATCACCTGAGCATTGTAATCTCTCTAGTTTATTGATAACTGATATGCTCGTGACCATACTTTACAATGTTCAGAGATAAATAGAAATCTAACTGTACAAACTTACACATTTGATTAACTATTGACGCGGCGGATATGATGGCGTTGCAACTTTAAAACTCCCAGTTTCAATCGCCTCCCAAAGTCCCCAACCCCCGACCCGTATATTTGAATAAGTTATATTTGTATAATTACGCTCGCTGACTATTCGAAACTAAGTTTGATCACCTTATACTGTTCAAGAACTTTGCTGAAATAGAATTAAATAATTGCTAATTGTAACAAACACTCATATACGCACGATATTCAAAGTGACTTATAAAACTGTATCAATATACCACACTAATAACACACCGCGATATATCGAACCTCTTATTCGTACAGAGTAGACAAAAATCAGATGACGCGGTCGTAAAAAATCTCATTTCATGTACAAAAGCACAGCAGCATATGCGTCTCCGATAACGAGCATGATGCTAATTTTGAAGCATTCACTATTGTTCGTCTTGCTCTCATTAATTTCTGCACGTGTCAATACCATTCTTCCCCGCGGCATTCCCGTTTTAATTACATAACGTTTATCTATGCAAAATTAAGGCCAAGCATATGCCGCCCTATATTTTGCTCACTCAAAGCTCGGTGTTGTAACGGATATTCACAGTGCTATCTCGATGAATAAAAAAATAAATATTTTCAACCTCTCCGAATTAGAAAACATAACTTCCGTCATAGAGTAAACCATCTGGAGGTATCTTCATATCGAAGTTTTAAAAATAGAAGGCCAAATGTATCTATACAGACGAAAACAAGATAAATTTATCTGAATTTGAATCGAGCAAATTTGCAATATAATCTAATGTATATTCATATCGTTTTCCATTTTTTCTTGAATAAGTTGAAATGAAAACCTGTTGTTTTTTTTGCAAAAAAAAACTGTTTGCGGGAAACATTTGCTGAATCGTCACGGATCTCACTTCGTATGCTTGAATTTTGCGAATAAACATTCCGAGTAAAATAATTCAATGAATGGCCCCAAATCTCACACTATATGCTACCTTAACCATCAGCCTGAAATGTCAATCTAAAATCCAGTTTACCTTGAAACACATATTCTCCAAACCAGCTGATAACAAAAGCATTACTGAGTCTTGACCACGTTGACAGAAAAGCAAATGCCTGTTATCTAATGCAGGAAAACGTTCGACGAGAAATATTACGCTGGGTTGATGTGGATCTCAATTTACCTATACCTGTTTCATTCTCGCATGCTGTTTATCTTGGAGAACTAAGTTTCAGACCAGCTGATCCCGAAAGTACTGCTTTGAATACAACTATATAACACGACCGTGTCATAGACAATTGTCGCGAGACTGAAATCAATTCGATAATTATGACGCTCATACCTGTCGTTATGGTCCAATAACAATCGTTCGACAAAGCTAATTATTACGTTCATAACTCCGTAACAATGCAATAGGAAAAGTATCTTATTTAAAAGAGACTTTTCCTTTTTTTTGTATTTATCCTGTGATATTTCCCACGACATTTTGACTTTAATTTTTTTGAACTGAAAAACTCTATTTTTATTTTGAAACATATTTCATAAACATACTTAGAAAAGCCCCAGTACACCAGTAAACTGACTTAGCTTATATGTATATGTCCCTCGTTTATACATATGGATTGCTGTCGGTTTCTTATATAATGCGCACAATTCAGTAAAAGCGTAAACTCTCTAATATAAATAAGTGGAAGTAAACAGTGCGATACTGATAACGCTGATTAAAATCACTGATAAGAAAAATCAAAGTGATATTCTTCACAGACTATTAAATGTTATCAGTATTTCGTCTTATCAACCGTTAAAAGTTGTTTGCACATATAGCACGAGACATACGGTTGTTTGCAAAGAAAAATGTTAGAATGAATAAACAATAGCAAACAAACAAACATAAGAGAACATACAACATAGGAGAAACTGCTTTTAAAATGTTAATTCTGCGACCACTGATGAAGCATTTTTTCAATTGAACTTTGAAACGAAAACGCAAACAGTGCCAGGTTTTACTTTAGTATCTATCTGCACAATACAGCAGTTTTCTCGAATACAAAATTAGGAAGATATATGTGAAGATGAGGCAATATACCATATATTTTTTGTATTGGCATCTGATCCGCTGTATTCACTCTATATAGTTCAGCAACGTATGTAGTTTGAATTTGCAGTTGCACTGTCGATGCAACAGTTGAATTACATAACTATCACACAATTTTGTGCGAGGGAGTAATTCTTTACTGTATACAATACAAAGTCCAATTATTATTTTTATAATATATATTCAAATCATCAATAATTTATCTACCTGAACCTTCCCTTTACACGTTCCAGGCGTTTTTTATTAAACACGTATTGTACGTACAAAAGCTACAACAAATACAAAAAGTAAATTTAAATGATTTTGCGCCGAATAGGCCCGGCGAATTTTAATAATAACAGTAGTCACTCTTATTTTTTCCGTTATTTATTTAGGCGCTTCCTACCGCTCGTGCCTATATTAAGTTAAATTAAAACATGAACATTAAAAACTAGAGTTTAGAAACCCTAAAACTGATTCCAAATACTTCGTGGTTTTACGACGGAAATCGATACCTGTAATTTTAAATTTATGAATAAATTATTTTCGTTATTTTTCAATATACTGTATCGTTGAGTGATTACTGCGCTGAACCCAACTATTTTGGGGCCATAGGCTGAATATCGT